ACCGATTCTGTTACAAGTGATAGGTTATGCTGTAAAGAGTTAATCAAAATGAAGGAGATATTGTCCTCTAATTCAGTATCTCTTCAAGATCTATTCAGCAGCATAGGCTGCTATTTTTACAAAACGAATCTGTTGCCAGTCTCCAGAACACGTTTTGGAGTGAAGCATGAGAGCTCTAAGCATTATGAAAGTAACTAAGCTCATTAGTGGCAAGGGAGGGCTTTGCTGCATTAACTGTGATGTTGTGATATCTCTATCTAATTAGCTGTTCTACTAATTAGATTTAGAGCAATTAAAAGCTTTAAAGACTTCTGAGAAGTTTTTTGACAGGACTGTAAATTTCAGGTACAGGACTTTCTCTTTTGGAAGGAGGATCTCGGTGCATGTTCACTGGTGTCAGTGGCTGACTTAGATGAGTTTCCAATTAATTATTGAAGGCTGTACGTAGTCTATCACTGTTGTCACTGTCCTAGTACTATATGTGTAACTTCTCTAAAGATCTGGGTGTTCTGCAAAGACTGGCAGCCATTTGGCGTTCAGTTCAGCAGAGCCAGAAACAGAAGACGTGCACATGTAGTGCTCTCGTGCGGAGAGATTATATTTTTCTCAGTTTAAAATAAACCATTTTGATTGAAAGCATCTGCTTTTTCTTTTGCATAACAAAAATGTTTTCCAAAATTAAAGTCTTCTAAAGCGTAAGTCTTTGCAGTCTCCTGCAGAGATTTTTATCCAGAAACCAGCAGTTTAATTTACAAAAATGTGTTGTGCTTAAAACTATCATGATGAAGTCTTACTCATGATCGTTCAGATTCATGGAGAACGTTTGACAAATAGTACTGCGGCTCTCTTGTTTTCCTTAAAGAGCTGTAAAATTCTAACTTTGGATTTCTGTCCGATCTTGAGTATAGATTAAAAGTTAAAGCACAAAATATACAAAGAACTGGTTAAATCAGACTAGTTTTAAGCCTATTGACTGTAGTACCTGTTCAGCAGCTTGGTCATTCTGAAGCTTTAGTGCTATGAGAATTGAGTTGAGTATCTCTGAATGAGGATCCCATCTTTGGGTTTGAATGCTCAGTAACAGAGCTGCAGTTTCTAGTAACAGATTAAATACTTCTCATGCTTTTTTGAAAAGGGTAGGGGCTCCGATTGTGGGGAGAATGTCATTGGCTTTGGTAGACACTGAGCCAGAATTATGTGGTTGGTATTGTTGATTTATGTCCTTGTCATGCCAGGGAGATCAGAAAGCAGGATCTTTAAGAAATGTCATGATTTTAGTAGGATGCTTGGAGGGTCCCATTTAGATAGAGAGCACGTGGACAGAACATCTCAGTCATCAGCAAGCTGCTGAGAGCATCTTTATTTCTTCTCTATTTAACACTGATGTCTTCACTCATCAGAAACCCACGTGTGGATGGCTTCCCAGCCTGCAGGAGTCCGCAAGGGTGTTTAGGGATTCCAGCGCTCTTGCCTAGAGCTTGCAAAGAGCTGTGGGCTCTTCAGCTGAGCTTGAGCCAACAACTCTGCAGCTTTAGTCCAGGATTCCTATTGATTTACAACGAGCTTTTAGGTAAGGTACCCAGATGTATGCTGTAGGCAAAATCTGTATCTGCTGGGAGAAGAGTGAAAAGCTGTCATGGGAGCTGTTAGCATAGATTGATCAGATGCTTTAAAAATAAGATAATATGTCTTTGTGTATTAGCAGCACTTCTATTTCTTGGGTGCTACAGTTTATTTTCCTACTGAAATGCTCAAATGAGGGATCTGATGCGTAGCTTGGACCAGAGATTTTCTTAACAACTTACGTTTGTCATAAATAACTTTCTCTCGCACACATGTAATTACGTATTAAATGCTTGTCACTGCTGAAGGATGCAGCTTCCTCCCAGAAGTTGCTGTTAAAGTTGTGTGACCCGGCTGATGCTCTGTCTCCCGAGTACCATCTTTCACTGACTTTTACTTTTGGACTTTCCTGTGAAGGATTTGGTGGGTTAAAGGATGACGCTCTTGGCACAATTCCTACCTGTGTGTGTAACACTTTACAAAGTTGGTTTAGCAGCATGATGAGGAGAAATAAATATTCTACTTCTTCCCTTTGCCGTCTCTAGAGCGGGGAAGGCTGAGGGGCAGTAGAAAGGGCAGAAGTTGCTGAAGGTTGTTCTACAGGCCAGTGTTAGAGCATCACCTGTGTCTCCTAGGTCTAGGGCTAACCAGCTGGTAGGTTGTTTAACTCCTAAAGCATTGGAGGCTTATTTACTTTGGGTTTTGTTCATTATGGAAATTACGTCTGTAACAGGAGTATTTTGGAAGCAAGCACTCAAGCTGCTGGAATAAAACCACTATTGATGGTTAGCATAAGTGTTCTTTTTCTGCCTCAGTTTTCTGAAACGAGCCATTATTAAGGTAAGTATTTCTAAATGAATGTGAATCAGAATAGAATATTTAAATGTGCTGTGCACTGACCTTCTCAGCTTTGAAGTAAGCTTAATAGAAGAAATCCTTAATTAATGTATTTCAGGAATAATTCCTTGTCATTGCAGAACCAAATCTGAGACTTTTGGTTAGAGAAGTATTCAATGCCTGCATTGTTACAGAGTATTTTGTCTGCTTGATGTTGCTCAGTAAACCAGCTGAGGGGGGGCGGAAAAGGCTTCGCTTGACTTCTGTGGCTCTTCTGTCTCCACCTTCTGGAAGCTGATAGCAAATAATTTAATATCAGCTTACTGAGTTAATTAACTGGAAAGCAAATGTGTTTCAAGATGCATGTTTTGTCCCTAGTTAAAGGATGTCATCAGGATTTTGTTTTAGTTATTGCAAAACACTGAGTCTAGGGAGCAAATAATTGAGATGAAAATTCTCTTTAAGCCAAAACTGTTTGGTTTTTTTTTTTTTATCATCTGTGCAGAATGTGTCAGACTGAATTCAGCCAGGAGGTTAGCTGGTTTAACTGTCCTGTGGGCATACTGTTGTAAAAGAATCGAGTAAAACTGTAATGTTCCAGATGACCTCTTCCATCCATTACCATCTGAATGTTCTTGGCATATGTTTTCATAGGTGAAGAACTATAACTGAGAATTTCTGAGAGGACAGTTTGGTCCACTACAGGTAGCGTGCTGAAGGCTGTGCCTTCAAAGAGAATAAACTGTGCCTTCTATCAGACCTGCAGGTGAGAAAATGTAGAAGGGAAGGAGAGACAGCCAGAGGGCAGTACTTCAGAAAAGTGTGCTCAGGATTTGGTCTTCCTCTCGCTTGTTTTTTGGGTGGTATTTTCTTTGTGCTGTTCCATACCTCGCGCTATTCCCTGGCCAGCAGTATTGGAATGTGGAATAAAAGATCATGTTGGTAATGTTCGAGTAAGAGGTCAATTGGCTGCAGGCAGAGCCATGAGCTGTGAGTGAAAGCTTTGTAGCCTGTTGTCACATGGTGGCTTTTCACAATAGCCTTTAGCTGGGAATTTAAGTGGTCTTTCCTGGCCATTCTTGTCCCATTTCAGGTTGCAGCTGCTCCCTGGTGGTTGCCTGTGAAAGGAGCCAGCTGGAAGCAGCCCGAGGGTCCTGACTCCAGTATCTCCAACAGGTAAGCCATAAATGGCCTTTCAAATTATAATACACAGTGCTTGTAAATATACCTGTAAACTTCCATCAGGAATGGAAGTGCAAGAAAGGATTTTTAATTAGTAACCTACTTGCTGCTGCTTCTATGACTATTTTCACATCTTCTAGTGTGTTGCATGCAATATTCAGTGGTTGTATAGTCGATGGGTAGCAGTATTTCAAAAAGTTCTATAAGCACTTTCCATCCAAGGGAAAAGAGACCATACTGAAGTGTGCTTCAGTGTGTTTTCTATTCACATTTATAGATCAGCAGTGAAACAGAGTAGATCTTTAGAGGATCAGCAACTTCAGAGCATTCAGTGCAGATCCAGTTTTGGAGAGGAAAACTGAGTACTAGCTGCATGCGTATTCTAGGAGTCCATGTAGTGTGTTCTCCATCTGGAATTTGGAGGCCTATCTCTCTGGCAGCAGATGACTGAAGAGTGTTGTGCTTTTTAATGTATTCTGACTTTGTAGGCTGGCTATTGTAGAAAATCAGTTGTGACTTTGTTATCTAGAAGCTCTAAATGCTTTGGAAAACTGTATTTTTCCTTAGCCTATAGTTAGTGCCGTGCTTTGCTAGCATGAACTCTGAAGCTTGCTGATCCATGTCTTTATACAGCCTCTTTCAGTTCAGAAGTGGAATGAATTTTATGCCTAGAAAATCAAAAGGCCTCATTATTCTCAGGTGCTTTTTATGGATACTGCAGAACTAGCCCTGGGTTGCACATGTTGAAAGCCATTTTTCAATTATATATATTACTGTATGCTTACTTAGATGTGACTGTCTTCATTTGGGACCTCTTATATTGCAACTCTTTCTCTTGCTAGGCAGGTGTCAATGAAGCTGGTGCTAGCTGCCCTAATCAACTCGTTAAAGTTTCAAAACTGCTGTTTGAAATCAAGTCAGGCTCTAGCCTAGATCTAGTAGATGCTGGCATGTTTTTGAGTCCTCTAAGGACAGGGCTATGTTAGTGTAACATCATCTGATGGCTGAACTGCTTAGTAATGAGTCCGTTGTCTGTTCTCCAAGGGCAATGGAAGAATTATCTGAGGCAAAAATAGAGATAATATCAGGAGGCGTTGTTAGCGGGAGACAGAAATTTAGGTCACAGTCAGCAGATAAGAGTTGGAAACCTGCCATGTAAATCTAGTTTTGTAGAAGTATGGCGCAAACCTAGCCTAGTACAACTGCTGGTGTACTTGCCACATGGAAGTAGCCTAATGGACCAACAGGCATATGCTGGCTTATTAAATGAGGAAGGAAAGACAAGCTAAGAGGAAGTCCTCTGTATCTGTCTTCTGAACCAGTACCCTCCACTCTTGAGTATCTTGGTCTGTTAGAGGCTTGGATGCAGGGGATCCTTTTGACAAGAATGATTGTTTCAGTCTTTTTCTGGAAAAAGCAACCAGGATTTTAAGGGCAATCCTGGAACCAAACCAAAGGAAAGGTGGGAGCTTTTGTGTAAGCTGTGGACTGCTTGAAACACCCAAAGAGAAATACTTTTGTGTTAAATTTCTGCAGTTCACTGTTCACCCTGGACTGGGTGCTGCAAAAGTTGATGCTGCTAAGAGTAAGGACGCTTTCTCATCTCACCTCTCCCTCAAAAGTCCCACAACTGACAGCAAAGAACGAACCTGCAGCAAAGAGAAGAGTGCAGAGGGAAGTGAAGAGCATTTGCCGTTAAATTGCAATGTAAATTTTCCTGTTGAGAATCTTGGCTTCTTGTTAAGATACCGTTAAACTAGCCTAGCAAGGAGCAGTAATGCTGCAGGCTTTTGGTGTCTTCCTTTGGGTCTCTGAGCACCTACATTTCCACAGAAGGCAGTGTATCTGTAGTTCTTCACTGGCTCCTGGGTGCAGCAGGTTTCTGAGGTGAGACCATGAGAAAGCACAAGCTACAAATGTCTTTGTTAACTGTATAGAGCTGTACATAAAAGCATGATCAGACAAACAGAACTTAATTTTTTCCTCTTCCTTGTTTTTGCTCTGTTGGCTGCATTCCCCATCCAGCATCTACTAGTAGCTTGCTGTCTTTCTTTACTTTTACAGAAAAGAAGCTATTTAATCTGATACGTTGTCCAGTTGCAACTGAACTGTGAACTTCCTCAGTCCTTCGTGGCCATCTCTTTTAAGAGTTTCATGAAGTGCTTGTGCTGTATAGCTGTGATATTGCCTAGTTCTGCCGATGATCTTGTCCTATTTATTTTGTTCCCCAGAATGGATCATCCAGTTCTCCATGTTTCCTGGAACGATGCTGTGGCATTCTGCACATGGGCAGGGAAGCGATTACCAACTGAGGCTGAATGGGAATACAGCTGTCGAGGAGGCCTTGAGAATAGGTACCTGTCACAAATGTGTCCCTGATAAATACTTAAACTGGTATTAACAAGATAGGGAAGAGTTGTGTGGGTTTTTATTACCCTCAATGTCTTTTTCTTGTGTGGTATACATCTATGGTAAATATAACATAGACTTACTCTGAACAGATTCCTTTAGGTAAGTGAATTTCCCTAAATGGTTAAGTGGTATATTGTAATCTGAACTCTATAATGGGAGCAGAATGCAGAGAGCCCAAGAGAGGAGGAGGTGTGACAAACCCTTGATCTCCTTGAAAACCTGCTAGGTGTTGGTACAAATGGAACTGGAATACAAACAGTTCTCTATGGTAAGGTGGGGAGGAAGGGGGTGTGTGTGTGGTGTGTCTCATTTTTTTATTAAAAAAAAAAGTGTTTGACAACTGTTTCTCTGTATGTCTTTTAATAGACTTTTCCCGTGGGGCAACAAGCTTCAGCCAAAAGGTCAACATTATGCCAATATCTGGCAGGGAGTGTTCCCCACTAATAACACTGCAGAAGATGGATACAAAGGAACTGCGCCTGTAAGTGTGTCTCAAAGTGAATTAATCACATGGAAATGAACTCAGTCTGCCTAAAATTGAGGTCTGTGTTCAACACAATGAACCATTTTCCATTCCTGTACTCTTTCACCTTTAGATTTTTCAGTATATTTCACTGTAGGCTTGAGTATTACCAGGGGACGCTTTTTAAAAGCTAATTGAAAAGTAAAGATTACTTTCATTTTAACTTTTAGTTCCTCTCAAACTGACCTCTCTTCCCCCTTTCCAGTCAGTTTATAGTCAGATGCTGAAATACTTTCTGCTTGCACTTTTGGCATTACAATTTTTTGAACTCTCGTTTTTTGGGTAGTTGTTCCCAAGGCACAAAAATCATGCAATAGTTTAAAAGAAATGAAACTTCCCTTTTTGGAAGGGTTGAGTCTGTCTAGTATGGCAAACAATGGCATGGAATTGTAAAGGCAATCAAGAATGTGAATGAATTATTAAATGACAGTTAAAGTAAGTCCAAAAAGTTTCATCAGTAGAGAAGTCTGCATATGCATGAGTTCACAGCCACCCTTGCTTTTCTTTAGTGGGAAGGGGAATCTGGAATTTGTAAGCAAGGGCATGGAGGTCAAATCGCTAATGCTATGTGCAGGTCTGTGTCTGTTGGTCAAACAGTGCCTCTCTTTAGAGGATCAATCTCCAAAACCAATGAGAAGATGCTACATGCCATAGCGGAAATGTGGTGCTGAGAACATCGAGGATGATAATAGTTCATTCTTTTGTTCTGTTCTATTGAAATGGAGTTTGTAAAAGTGTTATAGTTCTGTACTCCTAATTTGGTGTCTGCTTTTGAGATATGAAGGCAGAAGCTCCTAGCAAAAACAAATGCACCTTCAGCAGACTGGTCTTCAGGATTAAAAACCTTATTTCATGTTGAGTGGTTTACAGAACTGGCACTTGTGTTCCATATCTTGTATAGGTCACTGCATTTCCTCCCAATGGATATGGCTTGTACAACATTGTAGGAAATGCCTGGGAATGGACGTCTGACTGGTGGGCTGTTCATCATTCAACAGAAGAAGTTCACAACCCTGTAAGTATTTTATTGGCATCACATGACGTATAGAATTCCCTCTTGCTACTTTGATCTGGTTGCTGTTTGAAAACCTGCTGTTCTTTGCTCCTCTCTGCTGTGTCTGGGGTGGGATGGGCTGTGTTCTGGTGAATTAGGAAGTATCACACACCACAGGTCATCAACACTGGAATTGTAGTGCTGTAGTGCAATTTTATTTTTTTTATTTTTTTGTTGGACAGGCCTCCACAACTGATTAGCAGTTGACTACTTCCAAACTGGCGTCATATTGCATAAATAAAGAATTTGCCAATGCAGTGGAATTGCTTTCAAAAAAAAAAAAAAAGCCGTCTTTTTGTTGGTGTATGTTTCTACAAGCTATACTAATGGGGTTTTTTGGGCTTTTGTTGGTCCCGTCCCCCCCCAGGTAGAGAACAAACCATCGTGAGTTAACTTTACGGCTTCTACTAGCTTGTTTAAAACTCAACATGTAATAAAGCTGAAGTTTATGGGGAGAAGTAGCTTACCAGGCTTTGAGAGGTTAATCTTTGGTTTTCTTTGTGGCAGGCAGCAAAAGAGGTCCTGCAGGGTAAGCTTTGTATGTGGGGTTTCTCGTGCAGGATCTCTCAGTAGATTCAAGTTCTAGTATTATATTGCCTTCTCTCTCCTTTATCCAGGATGACTAAATCTGAGAAATGCCCTGCTCTGCTCTCGGAGAGCTTGTTTTGTTCAGACACAGTTATCTGTAATGAGAAAACCAATTAAACCTCATGGGGCAGGAGCTCTCTGTTTGCTGCAGGATTTGAGTATCCCCATGCTGTGGTCTCTTTATGATATGTGTAGTCTTTCTTTGGTGTGCCAGACATAATTGGAGGCCTTTCTGGGAAGTCAGCAATTGGAAGTAGCTTGAGGAACTTGCTGAACTTTTTTTTGCTCTTCTGTACATTGCAGAAGTTGACATTCTGCTGTTCTTCCGGGAGGACGTATCTAGCAAGAGAAATCAGACTCATCTTAGGGTCTAGATTGCTCTAGATCTGCACTAGTAGTTCCAGCACACTGATGGAGCATCTGGAGACCTCCTAACCCATACCGATCACATTGGCCAATTTCAAGTTACTTTTATCCCAGTAAGATACCACAGGTCTCTCTAGTGACTTCAGTTATGTGTTGGACAGTGCACTACATACATCTTCCCAAGTAAGTGAAATGCTTGGGATGGTAGCTTTTTTCTTGTTTGATTTAAAATAGGATGGACTATTCTCTTATTTTTGTTGGTAGCCAGTCTTAGTGGTCGAGCAATGGCCAAAGAACCTCCTTTTTCTTTGCGACTTTGGCCATGTTGTATCTCCATCTACTACCTTTCTCACATACTGCACAAATTCATATGATGTGATTTGGATATTTCACAGTAGTCAACATTTTCTGCCAGTTTCTGTAATTCAGCAATAATGGAAAGCTGTATTGCATGAATTGTCTCTTGAATGTATAAACACACCTGTCTTTTTCCAACATTGACTCATAGCTTGCACACATGTACAGCTGAAATCTACATAGGACTTACACTTAGCATTCAAACCGATTCTTTAGATTTTTTTTTTTTTCCTGTTTGTATACTGATTGATTAGGAGAGACACATCTGCTGTCTTGCAATTCTGTTTCCATTCTGGTGGGTGTTTTATATGCAACTAAGGATAATTTTTTTTGGTACCTTATGAATGAAAACAAGGCCGGTTTAAGAGCAATGTTTCTAAAAGTGAAGTGTTGAGTAGCTAGCAGAATGTAAATTTGGATGAAAGTGAAGAACAATCAAGCTAGCAAACTTTCCTGTGTCAGGGTAGGTGAGTATTGATTTGATTGTGGCCTGATAAGTCAGGGGAGGAGGAGGAGAGTGAGCAAGGCTGAGCTTTCTGTTCCAGACGGTGTGGTCACTCCCCATGGTTTGTACCAGGGAAACTTCTGCCTTACCCTTCCTGCTACTGATGCTTCACCTCAGTGCCTGGAACCCGTGCACCATGATCTGCGTACGCTGCCTTAATTGGGGCGGGGGAAAGGACCCCTTGCCCACCCGCACCCTTTTAGGGACACACAGCATCTGTGTCCCTGGGAAAGAACGCAGGTCTGGCAGTTCGTAGCATATTGCAACTGTCCCTGCTCTTGTTCATCTCTTTCTCAGTCTCACAGCTACTTCAGTTTTGGCTGCTCGTTTGTACAGTGACCTCTCGGGGCAGGGAAAAGTGCATAGCTCTCTAGAAGTCTTCTTGCCTAGCAAGAAGCGGCAACATTGGGAAGCAAAAATAGAGCAGCTAGGCCGAGTCTGGAGACTAAAAACACTTTTGATGCGGTGTGTATATAGAACTTAAAAGTCACAGATCTTGGGTCTATTGCATCTAGATATGTTCTAGAGTTTTTTGTTTGGTTTTGTCTGTAGGTTAGCATAAGGTAATGTGCATTATTTGTTTAAACAGATAACTCTTAAAGGCTCTGTCTCATCACTGGCAAAGCCTTAGAGCTTTTTTTTTGTCATGTAAGATGACTGGCTTTTGTAGGTGAAAGGCATGAAACAACTAATGTATGTGGAAGTTACTGTAGTAATAATGGAAAGAACCTCCAGGAGTCTTCATCCAAACTGTAGCTTTCAGCTAATCCATTCCCTGCCCTTGGTGCTAGTTAACTTCATCTTACTTCGTTTTATAAAGAAAAATAGATTTCTCTGCCAGTGTCAGCCTTCCCAACTTGTCCAAGTTGCACAAAATCTAGCTAGCTAGGATTGTGCATTTTGCTGAACTAGAGCTACTGTGGTATGATGCTTGAAGAAAAAAAAAAAAAATCCTTTTCCTTAAGTAATGCAGTGGTGCGCCTTCATTAGAGTGACTTATTTAAATGAGATGCTTTTGTGTTTATAATGTCAATTCAGCAGTGTTCCGGTATTGAATTAAGGTGCTGGTGAGAAACAAGTGTCGTGTGACTCTTGCTCTCTGTTAAACTTAAGTGGTTATGAGTTTGCTTAGGTTTTTAAATTCAGCACAAACATTTTGCAGATGCTTCAGAAAGTTTTTAAAAATTAGGTGCTAACAATGATGCTTTTAGGTTTTTTCAGTTGGAAACTAATTGTCAGAATCTAGTGTCTGAGGCAGAACACTTCAAAGTGAATTCCAAAGGGTTTTTCTGATTAAATGGATAAGGAAACTGAATCTCATAATGTGAAAGGTGTCCCAAAATAGCCAGGCTGCAGTATCTTCTGAGACATTAAAAATGATTAGCACTATATGAGAGCCAATCTCTTAAGTCTCTCCAGAGTACAAGTCAGTGTAACCTATATATAGGATGTGTTCTTTCTGCCTAAAAGACGAGAAATTCTTCTAGAGGGTCAGAGCTTAGTGAAGTTTTTAACGTATTTAGTTTAACATCTGAAATCTTCAAAGCAGTTTTCTAGTACTGGAGAGATTTTGGTATACTGTGGGTTGGTTACAAGGAATGTATGGAGTTTTGCACATAGATTCCCCCCCCAACTGATCAGCTTGCATTCACAAGTAATTATCAAGAGCAAAAATAAACTGGGACACCTGAAAGTGCTTTGTAAGTTGTTTGCTACCTTTTAAGGTATTAGATTTAAATTATTCTGTAACAATGGAACAACCAATGTTTTTCCTCTTCTTTGCCAGGTATAGGACCTGTGCAGGTAAGTATTGAAGCCAAATAAACAAACTTGAAAGATTTTTATGCAGCTCACGAAGTATACAGAATGCAGAGCTTGGTACCGTGTCCTTGAAATTAGAAGCTATGAAGTGCCAGGAACACGGGACACTATTAGCAGTAGTGGGGCTTTGGGGATGCAGCCAGAACTTTCAAGTTAGTGGCACTGAAAGGCATCATAATATGTTACGGATGTAACTTTTAAGAGCAGAGCATTAGTATAACTGGAGACTTGTTTGTACAGACCTTTCTTTAAGAATTTAATCACACACTTCTACAACTAACAGCCTCCTCAACTATTCTAGTCCAGACACTTATTTGTGCAGCGGTAGTGGCTTGCTCAAAACATGAGGAGCGAGTAGCTTTTATTTTGAATTCTGCTTCTCATCAGTTTATGTAGTGAGCTGCAAATGTCTCTGTTCATTTTTGACTTCGGCAAATGAAAATCTCTCCATTTTACAAGCATACAGGTTCGGTGGAGATTAATGTGCTGTACTTAGACTAGCTGTGAAAGCAAATAAACAATATTATATTTGGAGGGGGTTTAAGTAAAAAATTTTATGTAGTGCATGACCTTGGTTGTCATCTGGAACACAGTGAATGGTCCCTCGATTTTGTGTGAGATAATGGGCTTGTTACTCTCCCATCCAAGCCAGTAACATTCCCTTAGTGCAGCAGGATAGTCCAGTGGAAACCTCATCTGTCAGGAATTCAGAACAAACCAGAACAAGACAAATCTAAAACAGCTGTCTGTGGAAAACTTTTATACATGGAAATGGAAATAACTTCTAAATTTTCTGAATTTCAAGTGAAATAGCATCTCAATTGTGACCTGTTCTTCTAACTTCCCCTCCCTTCTCAGCATAGTTCTTGTCCATGTTCTGTGTTCACTAACCACTAAAAGCCTTTCTAAGCAGAACTTTATTGTGCATTTAGATTTAGGGTGCCACACTGATATCTGCCATGGCTGTTTGCCAGTACACATTGTGCCTTCGGGGGATACTTTATGAAGGGATTCTTTACTGGAGTGAGTGCCAGGAGGTCAAGGAGCTAGCCGTCTTGTTGCCGTTCTCTGAAATTATTTTGCTTGCACTTGAAGACATCTTGGAGTTGCCCAGAATGGGGCCACGTAGCAGTACAAAGACAGCCGTGCAGCATGTCTTAATCATGTAGGTGAGGTGGGTTTTCTGTGGCCAAACTCAGTTTGGAGGGAATTATAAAATCCGCTTGAGAAAATGTAAAACTGATATTTCAGCTCCTCCAGTAGTGGCAGTGGGTGAAAAGCCAGAGCACTGCTGTTGTCAGAAATAAGTGCTTCTGGGCTGATT